AGAACATTATGTTAACAAAATAACACTGGGGTGGGGTTCGGGGCCTGCTTTTAAAAAGGGCCCCGAAAAAAATTGATTCTACATGTAGATGCTCTGTGGTGCGATCTGAGGCAATTTCTGACCACTTTTCAATATTTTCTTTGCAAAAGATACTTGTAGTGCATAATAGTGCCCTGTAAATGAGACACAAGTTCAAAAATCTGGGGGACATTTGACATTGTGTCCCCCATCCTTCATGTTCCCTTGTCCCCTGCCCCCCCCCCCCTCCCCAGGATCGACGCCCATGGCTTGATGCCAAATTGGTACCTCCCAACCTTTACAGAACTTTGTAAGTACGGTACACGGTACCGTACATACCGGTACACATTCAATACAGCATTTGCGTTGAGTTTGAATTATTTAGGTGTTTTTAACAGCAGTCGTACCGGGTACTTCCACATATCATGCACATAACAATACCCACTGCAGTGCTTACACATTGCGTGTATGCTTAATCCTTCTTGAGGCTTCTAGAGAATGATGCCATTGTGAATGCACAGTAATTGGTCTGTGAGTCAATGAACTCAGAAAGTTACATGGTGAAAAATCCATGGATTAAAAGTAACCTCCAAGGGTAAACATGTATTGCATAGATCTACATACATGTACGGTACATACGTGTACATTGTACATACTGTACGTGTACGTGTACGTGGACATTCCTTCCTCCATGGTGTACATGTATGTATATTGTATTTGTACGAGTTTGTATTCATTCTTCAAGCAAAATTGATGGAGAAATATATAAATCATTCAGTAGGCCTATTTGTTTGTTCAATGTTACAAACCCTCATCCTGATGTCTCCCCATAAAATAAAAAGAAAGAGTTTGAACAAAACCCACCTTGAAACAGCACAACATACTGTATTTACCCACACCCAAAGATTTCCAAGAAGGCAGCGCAAAAATAAATCAAAGTTTATCCAATCCAACCACTCTCCATCCTCCCAAAATATCCTGGGAAAGTTTACCAAGTTTCAGACAGGTTTGCAAACATCCACAAACAGATGTCTCCTTGTTGATACTTTTTTGTTTGTAATTCCCCCAATCTACAAGCATAAATCATAACTTCAGCGCCCTGGGGCACAGCAGTTTGTCAACCTGCAGCCTGCAGCCAAAGACCCAGAGAAACAGGTTAAAGGGACTACCACACACACGACCTGCTCACAAGTCCATACATCATGTTCATGTTCAGGTACTTCCCAAGTTGTGATCAGACCTACAACTTTAAACATAACGCAAACATAGAGCAAGATAGAGCAAGAAAAAACAAAAGGTTCATGTACATTGCATGTATTTTTAAAATAAAACTCTTTTAATAATTTTAGTTCATGGAGGTAGAATTATGTCTCACAGTCACCTACCCATGGTGAAACTATCAGGTCAGCTTTAGTTGACGTTTAAACTCCCTAGCATAATTTACTAGGAACCATACCCATTCTGGCAAATTCCAACACCCACATGGGAAACTGTACACACACACACTGTTGGACTTAGTTTCTGGAGGTATGCCAAACCCAATGTACATGTAAAAGACCATCAGTTTAGGGGTACTGTACCTATCCCAACAGATTCCAACAAAACCTGAGCTGCTGGACTTTGATGGGTTGAGTTCGGTTTAGGGTTAAGGGCCTACATGTAAATCACACAATCCAAATATTCTGTGTTTTTTGAGCCGCATCCATTGTGAGATTTCAGGAACCACTGAACTCTGGCAAGAATCCAACATGGCTTCAATGAGGGTCCGGTGCTCTACATGGGTACAATTCCATTCTGGTTGGGACCAGGGTTAAAAGGCTCTACCTGGGTAGCCGACCTGTGTACACACTGGTGCAAGTGTGAACGGTATGCCATGCTACCTGGGTTCGATGGAACCAGGCTCTGCATACCGATACGGTGGACATGTATTGATTTGAACAAGGGTAGGCAAGACGATGGTACGAATTTAAGGCCTTTAAATAGATTTTGAATTTTTGACCCAGGGAAAACCTCATCTCAACCCTGGTCCTATAACCAGGGTTGGATTTTACCTATTTATAAGCGCCGGACCAGTGTAAAGCCCTGTTAGATTCTTGTGAGTTTCCAAACTATATTTTGGATAGTGTGGTGAAAAGCCGAGTACATGTCTCCCAGAAGTGACTGCCAACAAATGCACTTTGTACAAAAAACATTGATCACTGAATCTTAAAGTCAGCGCTACTGAACAAGAAAATACAAAGACTCAACCAAAGATTGCACAGTCTCTGCAGCACAGAAGCTCATTGAATGAACATTTCAATAGAGATCCACAGAGCTACAATATACATGTACAGTTATTTCTTTAAGGCGACCTCCCACAAATTCAAGGGGTCAGAGTTGTATACAGGGACCCAAGCAAAGGGGTGCCACTTGAGGTTGAAAGGTGGCAATTTCTATGATTGATTGGGTGCCAGGAACAGGTTGTCTTAATGGCAGGCAGTTCACAGCATCTTTTATGGTCTTGGTCTTGGCTTGGGAAATTCTCATCAAGCCTACCAATTCTATACACAGTGTCTTCATGCTGTTCTTTTATTTTTTAAATTGATTCATGGCAATGATGTACACAATGTATGGATCTGCAAAAGTTTTTGGATGAATATTTTTCATGAAAGCTACGCACAGCAGGGCTGGATTTCGAAACAGTTTTGTATTAGATTATTCGGACTTGATCGAATGTACACCGGTAGGGAAATGCGATTCAAGTTTATCATGCGCCATGGGTTAAAAAAAATTTTTTTGGGGGGGGGTTTCACTTCCAATAGTGAGTAAGATACTGGTACCTCTTGTAGGAATAACCTGTTCTCACGGCTAACTCCAGCAATAAGGTCCCCAAGGCCCAAAGGTTCACTGGCTACATTAGTCTGGATGCCAGTAATTGCTCTGGAATTATAGAAATTTATGAAGAAATGGAACCGAACCCCCCCCCCCCCCCCCCCACCCATTTGAATGGTCTCCTGATCATGCATACATTTGTACATTTGCAAGGGTCAAGATGCAGTAAACTTTGAAGATAAGGATGAAATACCGGTATCTGTAGAGAACAATGTACACGGGACACACTGATAGTGTAGATCATGAACAAGTGGGTTCTTGCAAATTTTGCAAGCCTCAACTGAAATCAAATTTTCCCATCAAATTGGCCTACATGTATGCAACACTTGCTTTTCCTTCGCCCCTCTTTCCATTACAGTCTCTTCCACTGACCCTTGAATAAATGCGCTTGTAAGAGGGAGGGACCGTTTCCCACGAAAACAAAATAAGAAGTTGATGACAGAGGACTGACCTCAACCTCAAACCGGGCCAAACGCTGGCATCTGGAGTTTGGGTTAAAAACTGCCTGCAGGAAATATTAAAATCCAATTAGGCGGCGAACCGATTCCCGACAAAAAAAAAAATTGCACCGTTGACCGGGATCAAGGATTTAAATGGAAGATCTGGATGGTGTGAGAAGTGAAAAGAGGACCGGAATGATTGTACGAGTACAGCTGGTTAAATGATTTTTTGCTTCCCCCTCCCAAGTTTGAAGCTGAGCTAAATATTTGTTGAATGCAACATTGTTCAAGTGCAACGTTTTTGCCATTTTTTTCGTTTTTTTATTGGAGCTGACCTTGATAGACGGACAAGGGACAAATTGTTCTGGTTCTACATGTATGCAGCTATTGGACTTTCCAACAGATCACAGTTCGCTGTGGTTGGATTATGATGGATTCAGCAGGTTGCCACAAGAAAACCTAAAAAACTTTAGTGTTGTTGTTTTTTATACAATGTAGACACACATTTTGATACAGATCTGTATTCCTGTAGACTGCTACACCCCAACTGTGCCACTGTGCCAACTACATGTACATTGTACATGTACATGTACATGTATGGCTAAAGGCATAGGCCCTATAGTTTGACCATACAGTTGGGCATGTATCTAGGCTAACAATAGCCAAACTACTTTGGGAGTACCCAACTATGCATGACTTAGACATCAAACACCTGGAATACAGTGTATTACATTGTGTTTACTCACTGAAAAATCAATATAACTACAGTGAGTAATAGGCAGGGCAGTTTCAGATGCAGTGAATATTTAAAGGGATATCATGTGCGATAGTCTCTGAAACTCAAACATGTACATCCTGAGCAAATGTACGGTATGCGTACCTGTATTCCCTGTTGGCTTACTGTCAAACAAAGAATAAAAGTCATCCAAACTGAATACACAATAACCAATGAGGAATGATACAAATATTTGAAAAATGGATTTTCTCTGACTTTTTTTTTACCTTGCCATCTAAAATTTCTAATTTGGCATACTAAGGCCAAAAAAAAAAAGGCTCTGGTTCCTGGTATGCGCGCGCGTCGCCGAAGCCATGCGCGTCGGCAAAATGAAAAAGTTTTTTTTCAACAAAAGATGATGTCTCAAAACCGCCAAACTCACTGATTTGACTGGAATCCTGCTGCTGCACAGTTTTATCGTGTTTTTAGATGGGGTTATGATCGAGAATAAGCTTTATGTGGCCTCTCTGGACTCCCATATTTGCACTAAGTTTAGTCGGGCACCATTTGCCGTCATCAGCCGACATTTGAAGCAAAAAAAAAAAACAGGTAAAAAAAAAAAAAAAGCCGCGTCGCCGCACCACTTTTTGGGCAAGCTCCATACCAGAAACCGGAGACTTTTTGGGGGGGGCCTAAGAGTAATGTACATAATAAAGTGTACCGGTAGGCCTAATGGCACAATTGATAGGCCCTACAAGTAAATGTGCAAATTTACATGGAATGCTTTTGAAATACTGAATCCCACAAAGCTAAATTTTATGCTTTGTTAAACACCTCTCTGCTGGCACTGTATGCATTATGTAGCCTCTAGACCCTTCTGGGCAAGCCAAAGATGAAATGAAACATTGAGTAAATGGATCATAATAACTGTCTAGTACAAAACAAATGTAAATCACCACTCTTGCAGAAAATATCCAATACGCCCCTCCCCCCCCCCAAACTCCCTTTCATTACAATCTACAATTGCCAACCAAGGGAACAAGAAAAAACTTTTAAAAAAAGTTAAAGAAATGAGCCTGCGAATAACACACCCACACTGCAACACCCATCTCATATTTCATGTTGATGTTACTTTCAATGTGACAAAAGTTTTAAGTTACAGCATTATAGCTATGGGCCAAAGGTTAAGAAGCGGCCCCACTTGTTAGCGGGCCTCTTGCCGAAAAACAGTTTCCCTGGACAAGCCGGCACCCTTGAAATTTACGACATCTGCCTTGGTAGGGGATTGTGCACAGCAGGGTGGAATTGGAGAAAAAAACACTAAAATAAAACTATAAAAGTACATGTACATATGTACATGATAATTTGTTGAGGTGTTTTGGAGCCAAAATGTCATTGAACGCAGACACAATAATTCAATTGAAACTTGGGTAATAAACTCTAAAAACTTTTGCACAAAAGATCACTTCACCTGTAATTTTACTTGTAAAACTAAAAATGTGGTTTATGTAAATTACTTTATAATATGAACGTCATATAAATGTGTAGGTGTGCACACGTTGTAAGTTTCCATATATCCCAAACCAATTACAATACCGCTGGGGAAAAAGGAAAACACATATAATTTTTTTTTTACATCTGAAACAGTGACATTTTTAAAACTGTTTTGGGAACTTTTAAAAACAAGTACAGGTCTACATGTACACTCTGTAAGCCAACGCAACTTTAACTGCTTTGTCCAACTTCTTATTTTGTATAGCCTACAGTAAAAGTTCACAGTAAAAGTTCACTGCAAAATAAAAAAAATGAATTCAAATAATTTGTGTACAGGTTCAAAAATTTCCCCCTTGAAAATTCAGGTCTGAACTTGTCTTTTTCCATAACCTGTCCTATCCTACATGAAATATCTGGCTGACAATGATAAGACAAAGTGTTGCTAGGGGCCTGGGGAAATCACCTATTACCCAATCCATAAACCACAAGCTGTCCACGTCTATTAGATTGTACACATTCTGGGCTATTTGACCTTGATTGCACTGTCTAGAGTCAGGGAGCTCCGTACCCTGGGTTCAACTACCCACGCCTGGTTCCCACGGTCTACCCAATCTGCACTTGTGGTATGCCGACCGCTGGCCAACAGACACTGGTGGGCAAGTCCATCGGAAATGATTCCATCAATCAGTCCACGAGACAGGTACATGTTTGCAGACACAGTACAAAGTTCAGCATTTTTTCCCCCTGATTATTTCAGTCAGATTTGACATTGGTGATAAAATTCCTTCTGATAGCTTTGTCAAGTGCTTGCAAACTCAAACTTCAGCGTTATTGCAAACATGTAAATTTTGAATAACAATGCGTTTGCCCACACTTTTTAAAAATTTAACGGCCACACAGCTTAACATTTAGGATCACTAAGAACATTCTGTACATTTATGTAGAAATTAAAAAAAAACGTAAATTTAATCTTTAAATATTCATGTTTAGATGAGTGATGTACAGTATAATTTGGAAATTAATTGACATGAAAAAGTTTGAATTTGGAAGGATATTTGATGTTTTTTTCTTGTTTTTGTTTTCCCCTCATTTTTGTATTGATAATAAATTAGGCCAGAAAATAGTTCTGCTTCCGGTTTCCCTACCTACCCTATTCTGACAGCCCCTACCCTATTTTTTTATGGGAAAAATGAGGAAAAACACCCAAAACCATCAATTTCTACCTTTTACCCTTGACTACATGCAGACGCCTACATATTATCGCACACAAACAAATTTGCCCCCTCCCCCCAAAAAAATTCTCTATCTACCTACCCTGTATTTACGAATGCCATGTAATCGGAAGCATTTTTTTTTGGCCTTGTGGTTGTGTATGGCGATCGTGTATTCTACGGGCCCGGTTCCTATAGTATTTGAGCATGATAGGGGAACAAAATCCACTTTTAAATTATTTGACCAACATGACCGACCAAACTAGTTGGCGACATTTAAGAACATATACATGTAGGTACATGTCACAGTTAAGGGCAGGGTTGGATTTTTGAGGGAAATTTGGGGGTAAAATGACAATCACAGCGACAAAACGCAACAAGAAAATAAAAATGGCGATGACCGTGCGATGTTCACTAACCAGTGAGCACGCAAGTCCCGCTGCACGGCACCAACCGGCCCGCAAACTGTGTATGAAATTTGTAACTTCTACCTCAAGAAACTGTTCAAAAATTACCAAAAAAGGTGTCAAAACATTGAGAGAAGTCTGCTTTAGGTTGATATCATTCGTTTAGAAATGAAAAAAAAATTCTTGATTCTAATTAAATTTGATCGCAACAAAACAGGGGCCCTACACGATCGCCTTACAAGTTACAATACATGTACATGTAATTAATTAAACTTCTCATTTCTGACTAGTTTTGAAACGATAAAATAACTCCACTGTTTCCAAAATATGAAGGTTTTTTTCAAGCAAATCTGGATAGATTTTGGAGAGGCCGTAAGCCCATAGGTCTATTCAGCTGAAAACAATGAAGGGAGATTGTATTTGTACATGTACTGATGTACATCGTTCATAAAACTTCATCCTGATAATCATACATGTAGCATCATCATCGTGGCGACAATGCCAACACAAAATGTAAAGTTTATCTCTCCCGTGTCTTAAAATCGAACCAAAAACTCACCACACGCACGTTGCCGTCGAAGTTGTTGCCGATGAACCGTTGACACTCCGGACCGGACATTAGTCGTCGAAGAAGTGAAGAAAGCGTCAAGAAATTCCCTCAAACAGCCCGATGATGTACCGACACACCAGTCACTAGTGATATTGACACCCACCCACTATAGTCCTAAGAAGTAGTAGTACTAGTAGCGCTGATGTTGTAAAATGCATTCCGACCACAGATCCGACGTGCACTGCATTTCACAACATTCTTCCAAGCGGTTTGATTTGCAAAGTTTGGTCCAAAAAGCGACTTTGCAATAGCGCCCTCTATCTCCATCTAATCAAACCACCTGTTGCGTCTACGTGGGCGTGGCCCATTCAGAGTTTTCATAATGAATAACAAAACATTCCACATTTTTTGCACGTGATTCATGTTTCATTCACGAGCAAAGGCGAAACTGGGGGAAAAATGATAAAAGTTTCAAGAAATATCGGGTTTTTTTAATTCATAGGAAAAGACAAATACAATATCACCGTGTCGGTTTGTGCATGTATTTTAAATGTTGCGAAATAGGCATATAGGCCGATATTGAAAACCTTTGATCAATTAAAAAAAAAGACAGAACAAAGGAAGTAAGATTCGTGCGTATTTTTCGAATTGTTTATACAGTTCCAAAGGGGTTGGGGGTTGGGAAATGAGTCAATCATAACTTCGTTAAAACTTTTTGTATTGCATGTTAATTTATTGACAACAGAGGGCGCTATTCCAAAAAGTTAGCGTACATGTACGTCATAGAGCTGTATACAGCTAGATGGTGTACGTATAAACATAGCCGCCTGCCCCAATTTTGTCTAGCCCCCTCCCCCAAAAAATCCATTAAAAAATGGCAGTAGCCAAATTTAGAAATTGACGTCATCTGCAAATTGTCTAACCCCCAACAAAATAGTCGTGAAAAGGGGGTATTTGTACACTATTAGGTAATATAGTGTGCGTGATTGTAGGATTTTATCAGCGCCCCCCAGCGCCTAAGTGTCCGGGAAAAAACACCGGTCTACATTTCAGCACACCTCCCTGCAAACATTTCTGGATCCACCCCTGCTTAATTAACGTATTTTTAAACTTTAAAAATCCATGTTGACTTCCATTAGGATTGTATTGCAAATAAAATCCTGTATAGTTACGGTCATAATAACTTGATTAATTGAGGTTTTTTTCTGAAATGAAATCTTTTGATGCCAAACATCATGACAAATGAGTGTACGAAAATTCATTTTAATGTAACGTGTATTTCTTGAGTTGTTGGCCCGAAATTGGGTTAGGTGGTGGAGATCGAGACCACTATAATAGAGGGCGCGCCACATAAATAGTGGTCTTAACAATGCATCAACACGGATGCTGCACAAGTGAAGAAAAAGAACATCATCGTTTCCGATGAACTACTCAGGAAATACAAAATGGATTAAATTGAAATTTCGTGCAATTAGTTTTCAAGATGTGTAGCATGAGTGGTTTGAATGGTGTGAGAAACCGTGGAGCTATAAATATAATATGATCGTAACAATCTAGTGTTTTAAACGTTAAAAATCCATGTTGACTTCCATTAGTGGTCTCAACAACGCATCAATACGGATGCTGCACAAGTGAACAAAAAGAACAACCTCGTTTCCGATGAACTACTCAAGAAATACAAAATGGATTAAATTGAAATTTCGTGCAATTAGTTTTCACGATGTGTAGCATAAGTAGTTTGAATGGCGTGAGAAACCGTGGAGCTATAAATACAATATGATCGTAACAATCTAGTGTTTTAAACGTTAAAAATCCATGTTGACTTCCATTAGGATTGTATTTGTTGCAAATAAAATCCTGTATTGTTACGGTCATAATAGCTTGATAATTTGACGTTTTTATTATGAAATGAAATCTTTTGATGTCAAACATTGTGACAAATGAGTGTAAGAAAATTCATTTTAATATAACGTGTATTCAGTGGCGTAGCCAGGAATTTTTTAGGGGGGGGGGTGTGAAAAGTAATTCTGTCCCCCGGTTAAACTGTCCGGGGGGACAGAATTACCTAGGTAAAAGTGTCCTCCCCGGCCCGTCAATTATGTCCCCATCCAGGTAATTCTGCGTCCCAGGGTTTTTTGTCCCAATCTTTTGAAACCCGGAAGGCCAGTTCTCTTGATTGGTTTTATGAATTCACTCTACAAGTTATACATTTTGGACTTTTAGTCTGCCCTTCATGAATATAAAAATATTTAATTTGGCCTAATAGATGATATGTGAACACAACGTTTCGATTTGGAGTACGGTGAAATCTATCGCGATTCTACCGCGATAGGTCAATACAGCGGCGATGCATGGCGATGGCCCTCGTCTCATTGATACAACGCCTACTTGGATTGGTCTGTGTTGCCATCATAGCGCGTAACGACATTTCCTATTGGACGAATTTCCATTGTAGAGGGAGACGCATATGTACACATGTGATAATCACTGCCACATATCTTGCAGCATGTACTGGCGCGCGCAACACGCTGCTGCTCTCAGTATATACTGCATAGGGACACATTTACCAGGGGGACACTTTCACCGTTGGGCAGGGGGACAATTTTACCTGGAGGGGGACAAATCTACCAAGGTAAAAGTGTTCTTCCGGACACATTTACCGGGTCACGTGCTGGTAAATGTGTCCGGGGGGACACATTTACTAGGGGGACAGAATTACCTGTCACACCTGCTATAATGTGTCCGCCTGTGCACAAAATACGGACATAGCCAACTTGGTTAGGGTGTATTTGTACACTAGAATTCTGTAATATAGTGTTAATAATCGTCGGATTTGAACAGCGCCCACATTGAAACTATGGTGCGATCCCCCCTCGCCCCACCTATTGATGTTGTGGAGCCAAGTGTGCGGACAAAGAAACCTGTCTACATTTCACCGATGCTTTGCTGACGAAACCCCCCCCCTGCAAAAAATCCTGGATCCGCCCCTGTTGTCCTCTTCTTCACGAACTCTAAATATTTCATCGTTTCAATGTCTTCGTAAATAAACGAAATCGAAACAAACTCCACGAACATCGACGCTGCCACATAAGAATGGACGGTGGTATTACGCTTAAAAAAAAGTAGGCCCTTACCCCCCATATTGCACGGAGAGTATATTAAAAGGTACGGCCTAGCCTACGGATGATCATCTGCTCGAGCGAAATTATATTAACTCTGCTTATCAGCAACCCAGTTAATTTCTCCTTTTCATAAGAATTATGATGAAAAGGAGAAATTAACTGGGTCGCTGATAAGGAGAAGTAGATCTGATTAAAAGCTCCATTTATAGCCTCGAAAAACAAGGTTAATCAATCATGCTGACAGGAAAAAAAACTTTGCCATTAAATCGTCCCTGTCTCGGCAAATAAGCAGCCATGCACGTCAATATCCTTGATTGTTACCGTAGAAACTTGGCCTAGCTTCACGACGATTGATGCCTTCTTGTTCCTTTAAAGGATGTATATACTTGTACGTAGCACATCAACACCAAAAGCAGAATGTTATGAAATCTCTGATATTAAAATCCGGCAGGTTCAATACTGAATCATTGTTTTCGTCCTCTTTCTTTTTTTGGAAATCCGAAGGACTTAAAAGCATCATCAATTCTTTTAAAAGAGTTTGATCTTCCAGGACGATTTCCCACATCTTCTGTTCGCCAGTTCGCCATTTTGTAAATTAACGGTCTCTTTGTCTTGTCAACCATTAATATAATTATTAATAATATTCACACAAAAAGACAATACATTACCCGATCGTTTCTATGGAAAATCAAGATAACACATCGCCGTTGCTCTCAGTCATAAGTAACTTCAAAACGACCGGCAGTTGACATTTCATGCCACTTGGCAAATATTGCCAGCTCTGTTTGTCATCGTGCTTGATAGTTACCGTGGAGATGTCGCCCAGTTTTTTTATGAGATTGATCACATCAGTAATTTCTTGATGATTCTTTTTTTTTTTTTTATCTGAGCGGGGCTATTAAAACTATATTAAGAAATTAATGCCGCAATCAATCTACGTGCTTGTGCGCACTCCATAACTTAGGAAAGCGCACACATACTCAAATTTGTATCCCCGTGGAGACATCGCTTTGTTCTCGTGTACAAAATCGTGAGAGGGTCAAAACCTATTTTTCAAATGCTCATATTTCAACCAAAGATACTCTCCTGGCTTGGAATTCCGACTAAAATATCCCTTACATAAAATACTTAAATTTACGACTGATAAGTATACCTTGGATATTCCTAGTTTTTGAGTGGAGACCTATTCGCCTTTAGAAATTGCCTTGTGGAGACCTTTACTATATTTTGTTCCGTATTATACCCGGGTCTCCGCAAGGCATCATGTTTCGAAACACAGAAACGCCAAGAAATGTCGTGTGTCCAAAAATGTCTGCGTTTCGATATTTTACTGACAATTTATAATATATATTATTTATAATTACGGGGCCTGAGGTAGGGAAATAGCTCAGTTGGTTGATTATTTGCCTCGATAGACTCCTAATAGGATCGAGGATCGATGTGCTGAGGGGGGGGGGGGAATGTCCCCCACTCTGAAAATACTCTAGTTAAATTTGACCAGAAAACAGCCAAACTTGTATTCTAAAAAGCCATATTCACTGTTCAATTTGGCCTGACACATTTCAAGGTCAAAAGTGACACTTTTGCGGGTTTAAAACCACTTCGCGCGGGGATTTTTTTGCCGAAAATTTCGATTTTCGTATAAGGCAATTTTAATTTGAGATCAACACACGGGTCCGTCTCACGGACTTTGTGTCATGTGTACAACAGGCACGAGGGATTAGCGTAGTTAGACGTCACCCGGAAGCGAGTCGAGGCAATCTTGACGTCTTGACCCGTCATCCATGCCTGTGTACAAAAACAGCCAGTGCGTGTCATCAAGTCCTCCGACGAGAACTGGTTAAATTAAGACTTCTCTGACTCCTTTCCGAAACCTCTGACGAACATCCGAATTGCAATCCGCCAATCTTTTTAAGAGCAGCGTAGGAAGTTCATCTTGCGGAGCACCTCCTTACAATCTTTCCTGAATCGTCTGTTCGCGAAGCCGTAAATCAGCGGGTTGACCACGTTGTTAATTAACAGAGCAACCTGCATATTCTGGACTATATCACGCAACAACACTGGCGGATCATCCGCAAGAACCGAGAGAATGTTGCATGTGAGATAGGGTAGCCATGTTAGAAGGAACACCGCACTGGCAATGAAGAGCATCCTGGTCGTCTTGCGCTGAAGGACTGCACCGCCTTCCCTTTGAGGGGCGGGTCCTCTTCCGTTGCCTGGCTTTGCGCTGGGTTTTCGTTCATCACCAACATCATCTTGCATTGCCTGTCGGGTTGTGGGTGTCAGGAAGAGATGGCCAGCAACATCTTGTGGAGGTCTACAGGGAACAGTGCTTGAAGGGACATTGTTTAGGTTGAAGTCGGTACAACCGTCTGAGCTGGTACCTGCATTGTTGCTGAACATCGATAAGGTCCTGTCGATAAGGGAACTGTCCATTTCACAAGTTGCCGCGCTGGGCTGTGTACATTGTTCCAGAGGTAGGTTGTGTTCAAGTTGTACACCATTTGGGTCTTGTGGGCTCGGCTCGTCATTGTGAGAGGCACATACTTTGACGTGTTTCCTGACTCGGGCAAAAACCTTTCCGTAACACAGGACGACCGTCGCAAACGTACCCAGGAACGATACCGACATCAGTACCCACGACAATGTGCCGAGCGTTTGCGAATAAAACAACAACACGAGATAACCAGGGAGGGTAAGGAAAAATGCGCACAGCAGAGCGACCAAGGTAGCTATCTTACCCCGCATATGGGTGAACAATCGCTTCTGTGAGCGGCAAATGCAGTCGTAGCGGTCCACCGCCACGAGCCCGGTGATCAGAAAAGAGCTGACGACTGCGGTACCCTCCACAGCCGAGAAGACAAAGTATGCGTTGACCCATGATGTCCAGTCACCGGAGAGAATGAGAGCCCGTGAAGTAATCACAGGGATTCTCAACACACAGACAGTCAGATCTACCCAGGCTAAGGCCAGGATTAGGACATGGGTGCTGGTCTTGCGAGCTTTAGTCCAGTAGACACGGAGAATAAGGCAGTTACCTGGAACGCCGAAGGCAAACGCCAAAATATGGACGACGAGGTGGAACACATTTCTGACTGTGTAGTCAGGGATCTCAATGTCCCAAGTAAACTCAGGAGGCTCAAACGTTACATTTGATCCCCAAATATCCGACATGGTTGGTTGCACTATGAGCAACAGATCTCAAAATGTTCTGTTATTGTATTTAGGCCCACTCAATGTCCAAACACCCAGCGAAACTCTGATGGATTTATTATCTTGGAATCGTCACCGTATAAATGCAGATGTCGCAGACAGACCCCGCAACGGTTACATTTCGACCAATGACAACACCGTATGATGACAACCGTTGACGTCATTGCCGGATCAATCAACGGTATTGCTTTTTCACCACAAACGTTATAATTTATGCCCAAACGGGGCTGCGATGATGCAAAAGCGAGACAAGATGCGAAAGCGGTCCGTTGAAAATGTACAGTGGTACAAACATTCGGGCCATTTTCTCGCAAGTTCTCTAGGATTTCTCGATTTTTTCTCTGTACAACTAAATCGTTATGGGAACTACTTTCTGGCCTAACTATTTTCTGGGGGGGGGGGGAAATAAGATCGTCTGTCTATCAAGGTGCACGGTACTAAATTGAAGTGAGAATTTCTGCGCGAGCCCATTTGCATGAACTTTGTTTGAAAAAGAAGACCGTTGGATTAAAAAGGTTGGAATGTGTTAATATAGCCGAGGACCAACTCCCTGGTTTTTGAGCTTCCATTCGAGGGCAGACTAGATAAAATTACGGTTGGAAAGAGGGTCCTATTTGCCTGAGAAAGTAGAGGGATGGCATTTGTAAAATGGCTGCATGCAGGCTTTGGAAGTATCACTTTTCGGAAGGTGAGTTTTATTGGTGTGGATATTTAAAAATGTAATTGGCTATCCCACCAAAAATCGTAAAGAAATGAAAAGATAAAGGACACAACAATTTTTGTTTCCTTTTAGAAACCCCAGTGATGTCGGCTTGCATGTTATTTGACCCTGAACTTTTGTTGAATTTACAGTTTTCAATGGGGGTTGAATTGGTGCAGTGCACGCTTTATATACAGGAAAGGTTGCAATTTCCCCCAAACCACAAACTGTTCATGACTTCGGATGGTTTTTGTTGGGGGGGGGGGGAGGGGGCTATTGTTTTCGGTCATCGCAACTCTTCAGCTGTTGTGCTCACCTTGTACTCTTTTGACAAAACGGTCTCTAAGTTGTTGGTAGAAATGCGAAAAACCTCAATATTTTGGAATTATCGTCATGATATAACAATAATTCAGGGTCTTATTGAAAGAAAACTGTGTTTTGTGTTTTTCTATACACTTAAAATCGACCAAAGCATAATTACATTAAAAGCAATAATTATTGCACTTGATCTAATACTGCACCATATGATGTCAAAGCCGTATGCTGAGCCGGCCAGCTGTAGGTAGTCCACAGCTGCGGCAGCCTGCTGGACTGTTTTCTTGCGATCAATTGAGCGCACGCCCTCATGCGCCCGATCTGAGCTTAGCGCACAAACCGTCATTAGATTTCTCCAGACGAGTGTTTGTTTGAGAGGGCGCCCTATACTGGGCCTGTGACAACAACAAAACCGGCAAGAATCTGGACGAAGCCGTAGAGCGCGTCCGAAGTACTTGGCCACGGCTGGAAATAGCACACAGATCGGAATTAGCTGCAGCCACTTCCCATAGACAGCCACTTCCCATAGATCTGTGTGCTAAATTCAGCCAGCCGTAGCCAAGTAACTAGGACGCAGCTGGAACATATAGGGCCAAGTTCGCGCAAGGACTATAGTTGACCAATGGTTAACTAACGTTTGCCCGAACTCTGTCTAGTCGACTGTGGATGACTACGCTAGTCGACTATTTGGAACCAGCCTACTGGGGTTGGTTGCTTCGCTGGTAACCAATAGCCGTGCGCATTCATAACGCTAGCAGAGAGCCAGGATCAGAAGTTTTGCAATGACATTTTGACCAGCGTTTGACTAGAGACGTTCGCACGTTGCTATCAGTGCGCAGGTGTAAGGTACGTCACGAATCAACCACTAGTCGACTAATGGTCCTTGCCCGAACTTGGCCTCGGTTGTGTTTAGGTAAGGCCCCACCAAGCGTCACGATAAGCCTGTGATCGATCATGGTGTAGGAATCACTCGTCCCCACCGCCCTGCCCAAGGACAAGGGTGACCTCATTTCTTTGACCTCTCATTGAAAGAATTTATTTTCCCGGTGGTGAAGGGTCAGCCCTTACGTGTGCACAGAGTAGCGCGAGGAGTGCACGTGCGGGATTGCTTACAAATCTTCGTTTCCTTTACAATATCTTTTGAGCGGTAAGGACGGGCGAAGTGATGTGGGGGAGTTATAGGTCTGTTCCAGGCGTTGGCTCCTCCTGTGCTGCCCTCTATGGTTTAGATGTGGGTTTTCCCCTTATCACGTAATAAGTCTGTCGTATGGGTCTGTCTTCACTCCTTGGTTTACACAGATTTCTATATCTATTATGGTGAAGGGAAGCCTATTCGGTGCATAGGGCTTTTCTTGGGCCATGACTTTCTTCGAAGGTATACATGTATATGCTACCTCCTAAAATTCGTGAACGATTCGTGTGAGATTTGCGGCCACTAATCAGAATCCCGGAAACTAATTAACATCCCAGAATCAAGTATTTTGAGATTTAGGTTAAAGTTGACGTCCTTAGGACAAAGTTGTGGGTGAACGGCTAGCCATCCATATGTTCTTTGAAACAACAGCCCAAATCGCTTTACAGCTAATCACACGGCTAGAATCACATTGTCGCACACTCAAACACTTTCAATCAATCGAGAAATGATACTCAATCAGGGATTGGTTCTTGTCACTCAGTTTATTCAACGTCATTGGTCATTGGAACCATTCTTTTTGGTATCGCAATATACAAGCAAAATGTAAAATGTGCATATTAATTCACATGCAATGAAAATAATTAGTTTTTTGGCCCTCATGCCATATCTCAATGAGTGTTTCATGGTCAATTTAATTTACTTTCAATAAGCCCAAATAGGTCGACAAATCGCTTTGAATCGTGCATGATTTCGAATTTTTGGTGTATTATTTTTACTTGCATTTCAAACAAATGCCCGCCCCCCCCCAAAAAAAACACCAAAATGTGCAACGCGATAATTTATTTAGTGAAAAACAGTTAACACTGCAAAGCCCACTGACAAAGGAGGAATAAGTTTTGTTAAACAAAGACCGTGTTTTACGTTTATTTTTTTTTTCAGAAGGAACAACTAGAAACCTAAATATTTTGCAATTTTGCAATATAATATAAGTAATTAAAAACGTCAAAGCAAACATTGAAATAAAATCAGAATAGCTTAACAATTCTATTTTTATTAATTTTGTTTGCATTTATTTTTGGCTTCAATAAGATCAGAATAAAGCAAAGAGTTAAAAAAGAATAACCCATGTTTTTCTACGACAGGAATAACACTTAACCGCAGTTTCTAATCTGATGATGATTCTTGTGCAATATTCTTCTCCATGCCAGTGAGTCTCTAAAACGAGTCTCAATCATTTCTTTCCGTAATGTAATTTCTTTCTGTATTTGTGTAATATCTTCCATTAAAATAAGACTGTGTTCATGCAGACATATGTCTGCTTCCATAATGTTCCATAATTGTTTTACAATATACCGCTTATGGTCAAATTTCACGCATTTTCATGCTACATGTTTCCAGAGAATAAGATGATTTCCATGATTCCCATTGCACACCCTGGTAACTACCTGCATTCTCATCTGGGAAATATCGACCATTCAAGTGAGAATACCAACAACTATTAAACCACCAGGCTCCTGTGTAATGATTTGCACAACTATTACTGGAACGATCATTGTCACGATCCTTTGTTGAGAAGGGACGTCCTCTGTGATCCCACCTGGAATATGTGTGATACCCAAGAGCAAGAGAGTCACCGGCAGTGCTGCTGGTATCGTATTGGCCAATATTCAGATTGTACTCACCCGGGGATATTTGGAAATCTGAATACTTTGCCCATGCCATGTTGTTCTCCCAGTCCTGTAAATCAACGCGTAGCTCCCATGTTCCACGTGAATCATCAGACGTCAGAGTCACCAAGTTGTCATTGCCCAACCAGAACTCACCGGACAAATCACCAAAGCCAGACTGGTACTCGGCCCAGTTACGGTAGAAGTCCACGTTGCCATCTTGTCGCCTCTGAAACACGATCCATCCCCCGCCGTCAGTTTCCATGTCGCAGTAGACACTAAGACCGCCATTACCGAATCCCTCTGGGTAGATTGTGTAGATACTGCTTGAATTATAACCGGCATCTAAAAGCATCTTGCAACTTCTGTAGCGATTCATGGAGATATCGGTCAGTGAGTAGAGAGGTGTGTCCTCATCTGCATCAAAGTACACACTCCCTTGAGTTGCACTGAAGTCTTCGGGATGCTCTCGTCTGGTGGCGAGGTTCAACTCGCAGATTTTATTGCAGTCATTAAAGTTGAACGACTTGCAATGTTCATCCATGCTGCATTCCCGTCCGCAGATTACGCGAGATCGCACAGTTTTGGTTGCATATGCAAACTCCTTCAGTGCGCTATTTTCAGCGGCATAAAACGGATGTTCCCCGGTATAAGAAGTTTTAAATCCAGAGACAGGCAGCGTAGCTCCCAGGCATATGGTGGATATTATGTGAAACAGTTCTGAGCGAAAACTGTTTTTCGCCATTGTTTCGTTAATTTAAGTCTTTGTTATGACGAAAGATATAACATCGATCACCTTGTTTTCCATGTGATGCTTTCCAGGTAGATAGTCCAAAAAGCGTGTAACAACATTGAGCGATTAATTTTTTTATCAACAACGGTTGTTTAGGGCTAACTTTGCAGGCTGTACTGCTTTCAGTAGCTGTCTTCTTTTCACAACTGCTAGATTGCTCTATTGATACAGAGGCCTGGCGATGATGGGATTTTGTAGTTTACGAAAAGGAATGGGTCGACGTAGACGATGTGTATCTCTCTGATTGGTTATTAAAGTTCATACGTCATTCTACGTCAGTGGCTTTTGTTAATTAATTGTCGTCATAAAATAAATAAATAACGAGCAGTTTTCAAGTAAGTAGTCATATCGCTGGCAACAATAGCTCTTGCAATATTGATTTAGTTCCAGCGATTCTACTGAAATTGAGAGGGGGAATATTGCTCTCGTGGGAACAATATTCTGGTTACTATGCCTGACCCTTAATACCACTAGCTAATTGCTTCGAGGGGAAACGATTACCAAAGATGCCTCACTCTAGGAGCACGAGCTCATTACGCTCAAGGATGAACGATTACCAAACCTTTATTGACAGCCTGAAATTAAATAGAACCACAGACATTCAATGTTGTGTTGTAGGTCTGTCTGTCTTGACTCATTGGTTATGGCAGATTACATTTAAGTATAAGATTTGAGGCTTTGCATGGTGGAGATACTAATATTATTAATAATATTCACAGAAAAAAAAGATAAGCTTCATCAACCGATCGTTTCTATCCTGGAGAAGAAAGATAACACATCGCCGTTGCTCTCAGTCAAAAACAACTTCAAAACGGGCGGCAGTTGACATTGCATGTCACTTGGCAAATATTGCCAGCTCAGCTTGTCATCTTGCTTGATAGTTACCATGGAGATGTTGCTCATTTTGTTTATGAAATTGATCACATCAGTAATTTCTTGATATTTTGTTTCTTACCCTGCGCAGTACTATTTAGACTATATTAGGAAATCAATGCCGCAATCAATCAACAGCCTTGAGGCTTGCGCGCATAATAATCACTGCATAACACAGGAAAGCACACCCATACTCTAGCATGTATCCTTATACAGACATCGTGGTTTGAGCATTATGCTGTGTTTAGGTAAGCGCCACCAAGCGTCATGATAAGCCTGTGATCGATCATGGTGTAGGAATCACTCGTCCCCACCGCCCTGCCCAAGGACAAGGGTGACCTCATTTCTTTGACCTCTCATTTTGAAAGGATTTATTTTCCCGCTGGGGAAGGGTCAGCCCTTACCTGTGCACATAGTAGCGCGTGGAGTGCACGAGGCGGATTACTTGCAAATTTTCGTTTCCTTTATACAATATCTTTTGAGCGGTAAAGACGGGCGAAGTAATGTGGGGGAGTTATAGGTATGTTACAGGCGTTAGCTCCTCCTGTGCTGCCCTCTATGGTTTAGATGTGGGTTTTTTCCTTATCACGTAATAAGTCTGTCGCATGGGTCTGTCTTCACTCCTTGGTTTACACAGATTTCTATATCTATTATGGTGAAGGGAAGCCTATTCGGTGCATAGGGCTTTTCTTGGGCCATGACTTTCTTCGAAGGTATACATGTATATGCTAGATCCTAAAATTCGTGAACGATTCGTGTGAGATTTGCGGCCACTAATCAGAATCCCGGAAACTAATTAACATCCCAGAATCAAGTATTTTGAGATTTAGGTTAAAGTTGACGTCCTTAGGACGAGGTTGTGGGTGAACGGCTAGCCATCCATATGTTCTTTGAAGCAACAGCCTAAATCGCTTTTCAGCTAATAACACGGCTAGAATCACATTCTCGCACACTCAAACACTTTCAATTAATCGAGAAAAGATACTCAATTATTGATTGGTTTCGTCACTCAGTTTATTCAACGTCATTGGTCATTGGAACCATTCTTTTTGGTATCGCAATATACAAGCAAAATGTAAAATGTGCATATTAATTCACACCCAATGAAAATAATTAGATTTTTTGGCCCTCACTCCATATCTCGATGTGCGTTTCCTGGTCAATTTAATTTACTTTCAATAAGCACAAATACTAGGTCGACAAAACGCCTTAAATAATGCATAATGTCGAAATGTTGCCATTATTTTCAAGTTATTACCATTAATTACTTGCATTTCAAACAAATACTCCCTTCCCCTAAAAATACCGAGTTAGTGCAACACGATCATTAGTGAACAACGGTTAACAATGCAAAACCCATTTAATATCAAAATATGTTTCGTCAATTAAAAACCTTGTTTTACATTTATTTATTTTAAAGCAGGAACAACCAGAAACCTAAATATTTTGCAATTTTGCAATAAAATGTGAATAGTTTGAATGTCCAGACCCCATCTTTTAAACGTTATCCATGTGGGCATCAGGGGGCGGGGCTGCAACCCCCACCCCCACAATGCAACATTTTATAATTACTCCTGCATGAACGCGAATCTCTAGATATTTTTTTTGATTGATGAACATCTCAAGATTATATTTTGATATGATATCCTTTTCAATGTGGTAGCTTATTATTGATTATCACCCCTTGAATGTCCACACCAAAGATCCTATAGCGCCGCGTAGCAGAGCCTTCGGGCTATATGATCTTTGGTCCAGACCTTTTTTTTTCAACGAACCCTTTCGGCATCAGGGCGCGGGGTTACACCCCCCTCTGCCCCACATTGCAACAATTTATAATTACAATTACTGCTAGATCTAACAAAAATCTGCTAAATCACCCACAATTAGCCTACACTAAACATTAAAAACAATTATATACTCACATATAGATGTTATACAATTTTCTCTTTGAAAAGCAAAAAAGAAATAAAATGTAAAAAAAAAATTAAAAAATTATAAAATTTTCTTAAGAAAATGAGTAGGTTAATATTTTATTTAAAAATTGGCCGCGTGTCTAGCCTAGCTTCCATTAAGTTACTTTACTTTGTAGTCGTAAACGTCAGGGAATCTCGACGCTAGGAACATGCCTGCCTATCCCCGCTAGTATAGTATTCAAGGGTTTGTTTAAAGTGATTGAAGCATGTTCAAAACAAAATGTGCTATAGTTTTTAATAGGATCACCGATTTTACAGAATTCTGCTAACAATCTGGTACAAATTTCCATATGCTCTATAGATTTTCTGCTGGATTCGCATTTTTTTTCAAGCAGTCTGTCAAGTCTAGCCGAAAATCGTGCGGTACAAATTAATGTACACCATTTTCGTCTGCTCAATTTTTTTTTAACCATACTCCCTCGTCCAATCAAATTAGCTAGATTGACGAGAAGACGTCACCAACATACTTCTGACCAATGAGAGACAGGCCACGAGAGCCACGCATGCTACGTCACGGATACCTCCTGGAACGCCCTCCCGTCTTATTAAAATAGGGCATTTTTTCCCTGAAACTGATGCTACTCCATCTGGAAATGAAGACTATTCCATCATATTTGTTTCTTTTTTTTCTGTAATTGACAATTTCCATAAATGATGAAAGTTTTTGCATTGTGTTTTATATGTATAAGTGGAGAAATTTAGAATGCGGAGAAATACACACTGAATACTTCGGCCAAAGGCCGCGCAAAGACCAGTACGGAGCAACAGCCAATGATATAAAACATGACACGTTTTACCTCCATATCATTACGTCATGGAAAATTACCGAGAACGGGGCTGGGTCAACGGACTCTGTACTGGCGCAGGCAGCTCACAATGTCTTCCCGCTGAGCACAACTTGATACTTTAATCTCCGAGTCTGCCGTCCAGCTTCAATTAAGCCTCAAACGCGGAAACTTGTACATCATACCCTGGAGTCTTCATGGGCGCAAAAACATCAAATTTCATGAATTTGGACGTTTGGAGTCTTGCAAATCGACCAGAAAACCGGCCTCATGTACGGGGTCACTGCAAAGCTTCGACGCAGACATGTTGCGTCGTCGTCACCCATATTGAAAAACTGACTTGCTGTAGGCCTACAGAACTTGTCATAACTTTTGTTTTATAGAACTGAACTGGACTTCGCAAAGCATTCCTTTGAAAGCTCATTTTGTGCTGAACTGAACTGAATGGATACGTGGAATTTTTGTGAACTCATAATTTTGTCGAATGATCTGAATGACGGTTTTGGAAAATACTGGTCAGGCTTTTGGAGTTCTTCGGGGTGACTCCAACTTTAATTAAGGAACTATCGAGGTGAGTGAAAATTTATCATCTTCTCCTCCCGTCACACAGAACCAAAAGAGGAAAAATCGTCCCAATATTCTGCACTTTGAGCAATATGATATATGATATATCCGCCTGCCTTTTAGACTTCATTTCGAAGAAAGGTGGAGTCAGAAAATATTCATTCTTTTCTTTGACTTTGATCCTTGAATCGCATTTAAGTAAAAAAAATATATGTAATGTTATCTGCAATAATCATAATGTATTGCATTCTGTACATGACGTTGTATTTTGCATTGTTGAATATTTTCCGATACAATTCTGCAATTCTCTTTAATTAGCTAAAGAACATTGGAATATCGATAAGCACGAAATAGTCATGTGTGTTTGTTGCCAACGAAATCGCGTCCATTTTAGCCAACATTGAGTTAGTCTTTTTCATTGCTGAATAGCCTATTGAACGTTGAAATTCCATTCTTGTAGGCGAAAACCCTTTGGATTCAGAGGTATTAGCATGTGAATACCTGCCAATTTGTCAAAATCTTACATGCACATGCCTTTTGGTGCATTGCGCATTTCACGCATTGTGTCAAAAGCTAACTCGTGGTGCGAGTATGCACGTGGACCGCTCGTGGCCGGCGCAGTGTGGGCGTGGTAATAGATCATCCGGTGATTCTTATTGGTTGAAAAGTTGAAAGGCCGCGCGCGCGGTATGCAGCCAGGTGCACCGTTTTTGCTACACTTTCAAAGACATTCCAGCAAGGCAGGGGCTTACAGGGATTTACTCAAAAGTTGAAGTAAACAAGTTTAGATTTTTGTTGAGGGTTCCTTGGAATTTGGATTGCTTTTTTGTTATGATTGTATTAAAATGACAGGTTTAAAACTTATCAGATACAGAACAAATAGTTTCGAACTTCTATGTAATTATTTGAAGATGAAATGAAAAACCTGAACACCATAAAGGAGTCATCAACGGATTTTATCA